TGTGAGTTGGGAATCGCATGTCAGTTGGGGCGTGCAAGTCGAATTTGTTACCTTCGTAGTCGAAAAGAAAGCCCTCGCACATGCGAGACTCGAAAAGTTGGGTGTAACCACAGCCGTAACAAATTTGAGATTGTTGGTTACCATGTGATCACAACATGTATATTTCAAAAGCGGCAGCGTAATGGTTATTCGATCTTTGTTCCTCAAAGGAGAGATGACAAAAATAGAATAAATATAATTGAGATAGTTACTCCTTCAACGATCTCAACAAGATTAACGTAACGTATATAAAAGCTACATAAACTACAATTTTAACCACGATAATAATTAACCACTAATGTACTATTGAGCAATGAAAGCTAGCAAATAAAATTGGTTAGAAATTAGGAAACAGAATGCTACATCGCCCTAAACTAGACTACACTAAATCTACATCCACTACAGCTAAATCAAGCTCCTAGATATCCTCTACAATCTGCCAATCCTTAACAATAACATCTCCAAAGTAGTAAAACCAACTTACTAACGGGATGCTAGCACGATGAACCCAGCGCTCAACCTGGACCCTCCTCTTGTCCATCTCACGGGTGTTGTTCTCGGAATCAGAAAACATGCTGCTTCGTTCACGAGACAGCATCTCAAACTCCACCTGCCAAGCAAAACCAGTGCAATAAATTTAAACGGTAAATAAAAAGAACACGTAAGGAGAAGCTAAGAAACTCACCGCGACCATTGTGTAGCACAGCTGATCAATGCTGAGGGAGAAGACACCATCCTCTTTCTTCCGCCACTTGCTTGCAGCAGCTAAAAACGCCTCGCTACAGAACGGCTTTTCGGCCTCAGCATGCCACGGCAGGCCAAAATCCTCTGCACAAAGAGAAACAGAAGCGGTGAGACACAAGAAATAACGACGGCATTAGCAGATAGTGTACACGTACCAGAGACGCAGGATCGTGCATAAGAGCGCCGATCGTCAAGGGAGTCTTTCACTGCTTTGCCGTCAGGATACTTCAGCAGCTTGAAACTCGCCTTCCGAGATTTGTTACCGAGTTTTCCCCGCCGGCCGTTGCAAATTTCGGTGCACCTCTTCGCCCACTCGCCTTTCTTCCAGAAATCATTGAATTTCCCGAAGTCTTCAGGCTCCAGGGCGAGGTGTACAATGATGGCCGCCTTGAACTGGTCTTTGTCAGGGTAAATGACACGCGCAGAGACGTCTGCACCCTTGTTTTAGAAGAACTAGGCAAGAATGAAATGAAAGTAGAGGGAGATTGAACTAGCAGGCAGTTGAGTACAAATAGCAAACCCTAGATTGGGCTGTACTCACTATAGAGTACCCCACTGCAGGCTAGACAATAATAGCATTCTGACACACCCCCATAGCCAAAGTGGGGTGTAATCAGCAGAGCAAGCAAAGCAGTACAAGCTCAGGGTGGATCACAATGTCACCACACATTCTGAGCACAAGTTCAAGAAGCAATAGTTTAAAGTTCACAGTTATGAGCAAAGCTAGAGGCAGTCACAGAGGGCAAGCGAGGAGGAGGAGGGCTGGCGAGAGGAGAGAAGATGAAAGGCGCCGACTGAAGCTGCAGACACACGGGCAACAGGAGCGGCGCGCACAGTGGCTACCGAGCGCACGAGGGCACCGGACTACGGGAGTATCTGGCTCCGCGGCTACGACGAGCACACACAGGAGCAACGGACCCACAGGCGACTGGCGAAGCAGGCTCGCTGGGCTACCGAAACGCGCGAGGGCATCCGGACTACTGGCGCTGCTGGCGTCACGACGGCTACCTCCACGCAATCTCCCCCGACCGTCCCACGCCCCTCTCACACACCCCCTGCTGACACCCTAGCTCCACTCCGACGGTACCCCCCTTAAACCCCAAACCCTAGGCTCCCACACACCACCCCCCTCAGCGGCAGCTGTAGCAGAGGGAGACGAGGGAGGAGGAGGAGCAGGGGGAGGAACTCACAACCGACACCCCCATAGCCGCCACCCCCACACTCTTCACCCCCAAACCCTAATTTAGGAGAACGGGCTGTAGGAGGGGTGAGGCGCCGGTAGAAGCACGGGGGACAGTGGAGAGGGCAGGAGCAGCGAGGAACGGGCCGCCCACGGGCCTGGTAGAGCCGCCCGAACCGCGCGCAGGCGGCCCGAGCCGCGCGCGGGCCTGGCGCTTCCCGTACGGGCCGCGCGCGTGCCTGGCGCAGCCCGTACGGGCCGCGCGCGGGCCTGGCGCAGCCCGTACGGGCCGCGCGCAGGCCTGGCGCAGCCCGTACGGGCCGCGTGCCGGGTGTACGGGCCGCGCGCAGGCCACGACGGGCGACGGGGGGCGACGCGCGGGTCCCCGTCGCCCGTCGCAGCGCCTCCCGGGGGCGACGTGCCGAGTGACGGGGCAGGAACCCGCCGCGCGCCTCGGGGCACACGGCGGGCAGAGAACCGCCGCGCGCCTCGGGGCGCACGGCGGGCAGAAAACCGCCGCGTGCCTCGGGGCGCACGGCGGGCTGAAAACCCTAGTTTCGACGCCGCGCGCCACGGGGCGCGCGGCGGACAGGGAGTAGCAGTAGCAGTAGCAGTAGCAGCGGAAGGCTTAGGTGGTGGGCCCACCCACAGGATCGACCCAGGAGGGTCGACCTGCTCTGATAGCATGTTAGAAGAACTAGGCAAGAATGAAATGAAAGTAGAGGGAGATTGAACTAGCAGGCAGTTGAGTACAAATAGCAAACCCTAGATTGGGCTGTACTCACTATAGAGTACCCCACTGCAGGCTAGACAATAATAGCATTCTGACACCTTGAGCAGATCATCGCAGGCCTTCTTGCAAGCATGCTGAAAAAACAGAACACGGTCAGTAAAAAGTTTAGAACTAAAAAATAAAGAAATCAAGGAAAATAAATAAGGGAAACTTGCCTCCATGGTCTTCTCGTTGCACCAACTCGGTTGGTGCACAATCTCGAGAAGATTCTTGACAGTCGTGGCTAAAGTCTGCTGGATCTCATCCGAAACACGAAGACGATTTTCAATTCGCAGCATCAAAGTCTTAACTTCTTTCGGTTCGCCACGTATGGCTGCGTCGATGTGGTTATACGAGTTGGCCTCGGGGTGATGAACGTCACGATCTGATGTGGGCACAGCTGAGAACCAGAAACGTAGAAAATAAATCGTAAAAACAAATAAGTAAACATAAAAGAGGGTAAAAGATATACAATCAGATGGAACGACAGTTGATGTCTAAAGAAGTGCATGACAAAGCACTGAACATACCGCCGGTTCCAGCCAGAGGCAACAACGTTTACAGCGGCAGCCCGGTGCGCTACTGGAGCAGTGGCATTCGAACCATCGTGGGGAGAGGGTAGTCCGTTGTCCGCGGTGTGTTCCGCCGCGCCGGCATCGAGGTCTTGCAAAGGTGGTTCCTGAAGCAGGGCGGTGGCGTTACCCATCTGATGGGCAGGGGTAGAGATTCTACGAGCGCCAGTGGTAGGGCTACCCAACTCATACCCTTCCAGACGACGGTTTGAAGTACGTGAACGCTTACGCTGCAGCTCCATAATTTCAGCTGGCACGCCGACCGCCATGGCTGCAAGAACGCCACTAACAGGCTTCGAGCATGAAATTGAATCGCGAGCTAAGAAATAGAAATGGAGTTGCTCGATGAGAAGCTCGACTGGGTCCACCAAGCTTCTTGAAACACAAAAGTTTACAGAATGTTTGGGGTTGAAATTGTTAGCACGATGGTTCGCCCTGAGATGGTTTAAGAACATCATTTTGTTTCCCCACACTCTGAACATACAGTTACATTGAAGCGCTTAGCAAGGATATTTGACAAAAGTAACACACCGACCACGGTTTTGAGTGGTGTTTAGATAAAATCTCTCACAATCGCTAAACCGATCAGGCGACGTGTTTTGTCCAAACATCAAACAAGTATCGGTTTTTACAGAAACTTGTCCCTCGGATTTAGCCAGAAAAACAAAAGATCTATCGGTGCAGTGCACTGTATCTGGCCAGGGAATTGAACCCACAGTCACGTTGTACAACGCGACAACACGACCGTTCAACTAGGGCAGCACAGAAAGCAAAGAAGGTGTGTCTTCGCAGTTATGTGCAGCAGCATGCGCTGCAAGCGAGGCACGAAAGTCCTTATTTGGGCGGCAGCATGGCATCGAAGCATCCGATGTGTTGCTTCCAAAAGCGCTGTAGCAACCATGTTGACCTCGCCAAAAATTATGTTTGGTAGGTGCGCTCGCACGACAAACAGTACGAAAGTTTTACGCATGTAGGGTTTTGAAAGACACTTGCCTAAACAAGGGCCCAACAACCGATGATTCAAACTTTTACAGTTCAGTGTTCGAACCCAACACAAATTTCTTTCTTGTTTCTCCAGAAATATTTCGCCATGCAAAGGAAACCAATCATGCAAACCACGCCACCAATGCCCAAGTGGCATCGAGCAAGACAGCTGGACTATGGCACAAAACAGACAGCACAGCTGCCGGGATACTGTAGGTCACGCCAGCGAGGCACGAATGCAACCTAGTTGCTGGGCAGAATGCCAGCAAACCACGATCTCATTATTGCATTCATCATCCAACAACGGCAACAAGGCAGGGCTGACGTGTAACAAGGACGTGTGCTGGCAAACGACAGCAATGTTAGAATCACTAGGCAAGAATGAATGAACTAACAGAAGTTTGGGTACAAATATGAAACCCTAGTTGGGGTTGTACCCCATATTGGCTACCCCACTACAGCCTACAAGCATAATACAGTTTAACACACCCCCATAGGCAAAGTGGGGGAGAACAAAGGGTCACAAGACCAGTCCAGCAAAGCAAAGCAAAGCCCAGGGTGGATCACAACGTCACCACACTCCGAGCACAAGTAAAGGCCACAAGGCCAGTTCACATGCAGTGCTAGATATAGTACAAGACAAGCAACACAGTGATCAAAACCTAGCAAGCAAGCAACAAGATATATATAAAGTACAGTACAAAGAATGTCAAGCAGTGAGCAAGTGAGGAAACGTGGACACAAGGCCTAAAGAAGTACAGTGCCGCTGATGATCACTAGGCGGGAGCGCCTTGGTGAAGATATCAGCAGTGTTGGCCTTCGAGTCCACGTACACAAGCCGAAGCTGACCGCGCTGCTGAAGCTCTCGAGCAAGAAAGTAGCGAAGAGCAATGTGCTTCGTCCTGTGCTCCAGTCTGTGCTCCTGACACAAGGCAAGAGCCGCCTTGTTGTCACCGTACAGAACTGGAGGAGAACTAGGCCGCTCTCCCAAGTCAGTCAGCAGGTAGGTGAGCCAGCGTAACTCCTGTGCAGCCATGGCTGTGGCGTAGATCTCAGCCTCACAACTAGAGCTGAGAACAGAGGAAGAGCGGGTGGACCGCCACGAGACAGAACCTGAGCCAAGGCTGAAGGTGTAACCCTGTGACGACCGCTGCGTAGCCAGGTCGTCCACCCAAGAGGCGTCCGAGTGACCAGTGAGGACAACTCTGTCGCGTCCTCCAAGCACCAGCCCCATGCCTGATGTACTGCACAGGTAACGCAGCACCCTCTTAGCAGCCTCCCAGTGCTCTCGCCTGTGTCTCCCAGGTGCAACGTAACGAGCAAGGATGCTAAGAGGGTACGCGAGGTCAGGTCGCGTGCAAGTCATCAGGTACATGAGGCAGCCTACAAGCTCTGGGTACGGGCCACTCGGCTCTACGGACTCGTCCGAAGGTGGAGCTGAGAGCGAGTGGCTGGTAGCCAGAGGTGTGGCCTGTGGTGAGGAGAACTGGAAGCCGAAGCGCTGAAGGACCTGCTGCACCATGTGTGACTGAGTCAGGGTGATGGTGCGGCGAGCTCTGTCCCGGGTGATCTGCAAGCCAAGGTAGCTACGCAGTTCACCCAGGTCAGTGCAGGTGTGTCTCTTCTGCAGCTCCGACTTCACACGAGCGAGTGCCTCAGTGTCAGCAGTAGCAAAGACCAAGTCGTCGACGTACACGAGAATGTAGAACGGCGGCAGCGACGTGTCTGTGCGCAGAAACAGCGACGGGTCAGCAGTAGACGGCGCGAACCCAAGAGCCGCAAGAGTAGTCCTCAGTGTGTCGTGCCACTCACGTGGCGCCTGGCGGAGACCGTAGACTGGCCGGCGGAGACTCCACTGGGTACCAGGGGGAAACGACCCAGTAAAGCCAGGTGGGCGGCGCAGCCAGATCTCCTCGTGCAGGCTGCCCTGCAGGAACGCTGTGCTGAAGTCAAGAGAGTGAAGCTCGTAGTCACGCTGAGCAGCAACGTGCAGCAGAACCCGAAGAGTGGTCATCTTCGGGGTGGGGGAGAAGGTCTGGAAGAAGTCGACCCCCTGACGCTGACTGAAGCCTCTAGCAACGTAACGAGCCTTGAAGACAGGCGGAGAACCTGGCGGCCGCTTCACCCTGAAAATCCACATGCCATCGACGATGTTCGCCCCAGGAGGGGGAACCTCGTCGACGTAGGTGCCTGTGGACTTCCAGGATGCCATCTCTGCGTCCATGGCTGTCTGCCACTGAGAGGAGTAGGGACCCGAGATCGCCTCTGCGTAAGTGCGCGGAGTGGGGATGTCTAGTGCATCCGGGTCTCCCTCAGGGGCAAGCAACCAGGCCACGAGATGAGGTACAGCAGCCGCAAGAGAGTCAAAGTCCTCCTGCCTGTCCTCAAGGACGTCCGTGCCAAGAGCACACTCACCCCCGACGGACGGAGGACAGACAGACGCAGACTCTGACGCAGCAACAAGGCTAGCAGCGTAGTCTAGACGACAGGCAGCAGCAAAGTCAACCAACTCAGCGACCAGAGCAGACGCAGCCGAGGACTCAAAGGTAGGGTCAGTGACAACAGTAGCGAGGAGACGCGTGACTGTAGGGTGCTCAGCGCGATACCGGTCAGACTCAGGGTCCGGAACGGCAGGCAAAGAGGACGCAGGAGGAGACGGTAGAGGGACACGCCGAGGAGCAGTAGAGGGACGCAGAGTCATGTAGTGAGTGCCTGGGACAGGAGGAGGACGCTCACGACGGACACGACTAGCAGTGCGAGCAGGACGAACAGGCGACGCAGGACGAGACTCAGGCTCACGACGCTCTGTAAGACCTCCTGTGGGACCAGTATAAGGAGAGGGAGCAGGGAGAGGCGAGGCAGGCGGTAACTGTGACTGCGGCTGGACAGGCGGAGGACACTCTACGGAGGGAGGAGGACAAGGAGGAGGAGCCTGCCCAAGAACCTGCTGAAGGAGCGGTACGAAGTACGGTCGCGGCCGCGCAGCGTCTCCAGAAGCAGAAGGGACTCCAGCGGCCGGGTCCTCAGCACCAGTAGGAGCTCCAGCGTCCGGGTCCACAGCACCAGCAGCAGCTCCACCGGCCGGGTCCCCAGCTCCAGCAGCAGCTCCACCGTCCGACTCGTCAGCACCAGCAGCAGCTCCACCAGGTGGGTCCGCAGCACCAGCAGCAGCGCCACCCCCAGAGTCGGCAGCTCCAACTCCGCTAGCACCGCCAGCGCCAGAGTCCCCAGCTCCAGCAGCTCCAGTCGCAGTGCTCCCAGAACAGCCAGTCCCGGCAGCTCCAGTACCCCCAGTACGAGCACCCCCAGGACGAGCAGCTCCAGCACCCCCAACTCCAGCCGAGCCACTAGGACGACGAAAGCGTCGGACGTACCAGTCACGAAGCTGCTGCGGTGTGAGAGACTGCTCAGCACCCCGAACCGGAGCACCCCCAGACGCAGTAACCCGAGGCTCCGTAGGCTCAGTAGCAGCACCCCCAGGCTCAGTACCCGCAGGCTCAGTACCCGCAGGCTCAGCACCCCCAGTCGCAGCACCCCCAGGCTCCGTACTCTCAGGCACCGTACCCTCAGCTCCAGCACCCTCAGTCCCAGCACCTGCAGCCCCAGCACCCCCAGGCCCAGCACCCCCAGGCTCAGCACCCCCAGGCTCAGCACTCCCAGCAGCACCACCCGCAGCAGCACCTGAGTCACCTGTGACCTCGACAGGCTCAGCGACGGGAGGAGGGTCTACCTGAGAGACACCTGAAGGAGCAGGACCCTGAGGGGGAAGGGGGTCTACCGGAGGGGGACCAGGAGCAAGGAAAAGCGGCGGGGGAGGGAGGGGGGCAGTGCGGTAGGGGAAGAGACGGTAAAAAGGGACCGACTCGTCAAAGGTGACATCCTGAGAGGCGAAGACCCGGCGCGAGGTGGGGTGGTAAAACTGCCAGCCAGGCGCGTCAGGGACAAAGCCAAGGAAGACACAGGGAAGCGTGCGGGAGGAGAGCTTGTCCGCGGACGTATCGCGGACAAGGGCACGAGCACCCCACACCCGGAAGCGCGACGCATCGCCAACCTCCCCCGTCCAACGCAGTGTGGGCGAGGTCTCCGGCAAGGAGACACGGGGCCAGAGGTTGAGCTGATGCGCGGCGTACCGGACAGCAAACGGCCACAGAAAATGGGGAGCCGCCGCGTGGACCAAGGAGGTACGAGCGACCTCCATGACCAGGCCAATGCGGCGCTCAGCAACCCCATTCTGCTGTGGGGAGTCCGGAAGCGTGAAGGTCTGCTCGATGCCCTCCGCCTGACAGAAGGTCCTCAAGAGGTCGGAGGAAAACTCACCACCTCTGTCAGAGTGCAGACGCAGGACAGGAAGATCCGTCCGGAAACGGCGGCGGAGCTGGAGACGAACCGTGCGGATCCAAGGGATCAGAACAGCAGGGACCTCACCCTTGGTGCGCAAGGGGAAGACCGTGGTGTAACGCGAGTAGTCGTCGACAACCAGCAAAAAATACCGCTCACCGCCCTGACCACGAACGCGGGCTGGGCCCCACACGTCCAGGTGGAGGGTCTCCAGAGGAGCCTCTGTCGGGGGGAACGAGGAGGAGTGAGGAGCGGCGCGCTGCCGCCCCTCGACGCAAGGAAGGCAGGGTGGCGCAGGCGAGGCAGGTAGGGGAGGGAGGGACCGGGGAAGACCGGACACAAGGAGGCGACGGTGCATGCCACGAAGGCGTGGCAAGGAGGGGTGACCCAGGCGGTGGTGCCAGAGAAGAGTCTGGTGCGACAGGGAACGACACTCACAGGCGTGGGCCACCAGACCTGACGCAGACACCTGACCGACAGCAGCTACCTGGGGAGACGCAGTGGTCAGTGTGTAGAGACTCGACCCCGGCCGACGGGTGAACGTAGCCAGGTGACGGCCAGTCCTGGAGCACGTGCAGATCGCCACACGCTGTCCGCCAGGGGTAAAGGTGTCAACCCACTGATCCTGGAGGACAGCGTTGCTCACCAGGTTCGTCGAGAACGAGGGGAGGTGGAAACCCGACAACGAGCCAGACGGAACCGCCGGACAAGGGAGGACAGTGGTGGACTGGGCAAGGACTGGGCCCCCAGAGGGGTCAGCCAAGGAGACTGGGACCGGTGCAGGGAGCGGTGTGAGCTCAGTACTGTCACGAAAGAAGCAACGGGAAGCACCTGAGTCAAGGGTGAAGGTGTGACAGGCCTCAGCCGGTGCGGTACCTGAGAGAGCAGTCTCTGTGGGTGCTGTACCTGAGAGAGCAGACTCGAAACCAGTCGGGACAGCACTGGAGGGAGCAAGTACACGGGGCACCATACCAGAGAGAGCAGACTCACTAGTACCCAGGGCAGCGGGCTCTATACCTGGGTCAGGCGGCACACACAAGTAACAGTCTCCCTCGGCACTAACAGTCAATGCATACATGGCAGCAATAATAGCATCATAGTCAAGAGCAAAGACATCAACACCAGCCCTCATGAGCTCAGCCCAGCGGGGGCGCTCAACATCCGCACCCATCTCCTCACGCCAAGCGTCGTCAAGGCGGGAGAAGCAGCGGTACGGGGTGTGGAACCTCCCACACGTCTGTCCCTTGCGGTCACCTGTGCGAATGACATAAGAACAGCGGGCACTGGCCCCCGACGTCCCACGCTGAGCAAGCCACTCACGAAGCTGCTGGGTCGTCTGGGGACGCTGCTGCTGCTGGGAGCTCTGGCCAGAGCCAGTGCCTCCACTCCGACCTCCGCCGCCACCACTGCCACCGCTCCGACCGCCACCGCCACCACCGCCACCACCGCCACCGCCGCCGCCGCCACTACTGCCACTGGTCCCTCCGCCGCCCCCGTCTCCACCACCGACCCCACTCTCACCAGCGCTCCCGCCACCGCTCCCTCCAGCACCGCCTCCCCCCCCACCTCCCCCACCTCCTCCCCCCCCAGCGCCACCACCACCACCCTTGCCCCCCTTGCCCTTGCCGGTGCGGCGCCTCCCACCAGGAGTAGAAGCAGCGCCAACAGACTCAGCACCAAGGAAGTCAACAGCAACAGCAGCAGCGTAGGAGGGAGCGAGGGGAGAGGGAGAACACCCCTCAAAGATGGGGGTGCGAGGAGCGCCACGAGCAGCACCGACAGCTACAATGCTCTTTTCGGCCGCGAGCAGGTGCTCCTCTAGGAGGGCGACTGTGAGCTCAGTGGGACAGCGAGCAAGGAAGTGGTCTCGAACTGAGCGGAGGGTGTCAGGGAGACGGGTGACTATGAAGTGGAGTGTCCAGTACAGTGGAGGGGGGTTCTTAGCGCAGAACTCGGTGGGAAGGGCGGCACGCAGGCGAGCATCACTAGTGCGAAGGTGGGTGATAAGATCGGCGACTGTAGTAAAGGTGGACAGATCGGGGAACAGGTACGGCAGCATGAGGCGGCTAAGCTCGGCTGTGGCAGGCGAGGAGTAGCGAGCGACGACAGCGTCGTACAGGGCCTTAGCGGATTTGCAGTCGCCAAAATGTTCGAGCTCAGCTAACGGCAGGTGACTGCGAATGGCTAGGCGAGCAGCTGCGTCACGAGTCTGCCAGTGGGAACGAACACTAAGCTCAGCTGTGGCAGGAGGGGCAGGCGCAGCACCAGACGCGTAGTCATAGAGCGACACATGCTCCTTGCTATCGCTCAGGAGAAACAGCATCGAACGACAGCACGCGAATGGAAGCCATAGCGACAGTGTGACAGAGTAACGAAAGCTGCCGCAGCAGGGGAAGACGACTGTGCACGGATAGAGAGCAGCGGGCGAGGCTGGCGCTACGGGCAGGCGGCGCTGCAAGCGGTCAGTGCGACGGGAGGGCGACGCTGCGAGCGGGCAGCGCGGCGGACGGGCCGGAAAGCGGGCAGCGCGGCGGGCAGGCGGCGCTGCAAGCGGGCAGCACGGTGGGCGGGCGACGCTGCGAGGCGGGCGGGCCGCAAAGCGAGCAGCGGGCGGGGGGCGGGCTGCGAAGCGGGCAGCGGGGCGAGCGGGCTGCGATGCGGGCGGGCCGCGAAGTGGGCAGCGAGCGGGCGGGCGGGCTGCGAAGTGGCGGGCCGCGAAGCGGGCAGCGGGGCGAGCGGGCTGCGAGGCGGGCGGGCCGCGAAGCGGGCAGCGAGCGGGCGGGCGGGCTGCGAAGTGGCGGGCCGCGAAGCGGGCAGCGAGCGAGCGGGCTGCGAAGCGGGCGGGCCGCGAAGCGGGCAGCGAGCGAGCGGGCTGCGAAGCGGGCGGGCCGCGAAGCGGGCAGCGAGCGGGCGGGCGGGCTGCGTAGCGAGCGGGCCGCGAAGCGGGCAGCGAGCGGGCGGGCGGGCTGCGAGCGGGCGGCTCGGCGAGGGGCGCGCGAGGGCGCTAGTGAGAGGCGCGCGAGGGCGCTAGTGAGGGGCGCGCGAGGGCGCTAGCAAGGGGCGCGCGAGGGCGCTAGCAAAGGGGCGCGCGAGGGCGCTAACGAAGGGGCGCGCGAGGGCGCTGACGTGGGTGCGCGCGAGGGCGCTAACGAGGGTGCGCGCGAGGGCGCTAACGAGGGCGCACGAGGGCGCTACGAGGCTAGGGAACGGGGTAGCGTGGTAACCGCATGCGAGCGGTGGTGGGCCCTAAAAACGATCGGTAGGTCCTAGGGACCTCCTGCTCTGAATACCATGTTAGAATCACTAGGCAAGAATGAATGAACTAACAGAAGTTTGGGTACAAATATGAAACCCTAGTTGGGG